GTGCTGTAAGTTGCAGGTACGCCGCCTCAGAAGGCAGGTTCTGGTTGTTGCAGTAGAAATCTTCATTGCCGGCGGCGGACGTGGGAGGTGGGAGGCAGAGCGGATCGATCTGAGCTACAGCGATCGTAATGATTGCCGCCGCGGCGAGAATAATCATCATCGTTAGCATGGCGAGTAGTGGTGTTTTTTTTTTTTGGCTATGAATACCAGTGGAATATATACAGCTGCAGAAACCGTACAACTAAAAATTGGACGGCAAAAACCAGACAGGGAATGGAGAGATGAATGAAGGGTTATTGTGAACTGATCTCGCATCGTATAACGGCTGGATAAAGCCGGTGGAGAGGCTGAAAATCCCCATGTCAGAACCCCCGAGCAGCTTCTTGTAATGGTAATCAAGCATATCGTCCGTGAAATAGATGGAATTCGGCACGATCTCCGGGTGATCTCGAGCAGAAACGCAGGTTGAAGTGTTGAAGCCCAGGAAGAGAGCATAGTCGCCAATGCTTCCGACCTCATCCCATTCCTTTGTATCCTCGTTCAGCTTGAAAACTTCAAACCGAATCGTGCGGTGGACCATCCTATCTAAACTCACCCCAGGATCGACACAACGTTCGTCGTCTGAGTCCTCATCAGGAGCGACTATATCAGCTTCATCATCCACCACGCCATGGTCAACCGGATTAATATAACCATTATTGTCGCCATCGTCATCCTCACCTTCCCCCTCGTCCACATCCTCAACCGCGACCTCGTCCTCGGGGTGACTTATTTTTCGAGTCACCATCATCAATTCATCTCCGGTTGGACTCACCGACAGGTAGTAATTCTCAGCAACTTCAGTATCATTTTTACTGTCGATCAACAATCGAAGTCTTGGATGACCTGCGATGGAAATATCGCAAATGAAAAGCCTGAAAAGGTTGTCCAAGACGTAGAATTGACTCCTCCAGAACACAACATCCGTAAAAGCAATTAAGTACGGCCCCGGACGAGGAATCAACGTCCATGCTTCCTCATCTCTAGGTCTGCAAAACGCTAGCCTGTTATCAGCAAGCCCGCAGCGTATAACCATCACAACGAAGTCCTCCTCCGCAACAGGGTCAGCCGAGAGAGCCATCTTATATATGCAGCTAGACTCCAAGAACTTCTTTCCACTGGCTATCTTGCGGCCAGAATCACGGACCCACAAGTATTCATAGCCGATTTTTTCCGGGCGGTACTTCAGCACATCAGGAAAACTTGTGAGTGGGGGAAGCGGGATCTGATTTCCGGTGAGAGGGTTCAGTAAGAACATAAATGGTGTCCTCTGCAGAGTAAGCATCCAACCGAAAGCAGAGCCGCGGCAGGTCGTTTTGTCAAAGCCTTGTGGCAACACGATGTGGTGAAATTTTTGCTCGGCCACATCGAAAAACCGCCTACAGCTATCGCTGCCTTTACATCCCTCGGCCGCCATCATACTATTAGCGTCGCCGCTGCAATACGGAAGCATCAGCCACGGCAAGGATTGCCTAAACTTCCCACGATCCGAATTTAGGCTTAGTCTCCACGGCTTGCAAGTGGCACGAAATCGAATAACATCCTTCAACTTGAACAGCCGTTGATGGACCATACAGAGTAGCTCCACCGGCAGTTCAGACCAATTATTAGATTCCGCCATCATCGGCCGTTCTTATTATTCCGGCGACACGGATTAATCTGGCCAAGACAGTAAGCCCTCCAGCTGCTATTATTGATTTCCAAAGCAAAGAATGGATTTTGCCAGTGGGGTTCCAAAACTAAATAGGGATTTGGTGAATCTCTTCCTTCCCCTGGTCGGAATCGGATTTCCCACTCCGGAACAAGGTAGACAGAGAGAGGCCGGAAACAGAGAAAGAAACAGATCTGATAGATAAACAAACGAAACGGAGGCTTACCACTGCGGAATCTCAGCTCGCCGCCGGCGAGCCACCGGAACTCAGAGGCGCCCCAATTCGTAGCTCTCAAGGGTCAGAACTGATGGATCCTGCCTGGAGCTCTGATTTTTCGATTCATATCTTATGCTTATCATTTGTGCGGCGGAAAGTAAAGCTCTGGTTTTGTCTTCTAACATTTCAGATGACATAAGAGTTTGATTGCCTAAACTGCCTAGGCTAGCAAGGTTTGAGTTGGATTGAAACCTGAATTGGGCCCGGATATAAAAGTGTTTTTATTTTATTTTTATAAATAACACCTTTGTTCAAATCAAGATTGTCAAACCGGTTTAAGTGTTTAACTCATTGAATCGATTAAACAAGTGATTTAAAGTTTAATGGTCTAAATATATATATACAAATAAGATAGTATCTTAAAAAATCTAATGAATGAAATCAAATTTATCTTATATATATATCTACTAAAAAGGGTTGTTATTTGTCACCTATAGAGCGACTAATAGCGATTTAGATTAAAAACTATATAGTAAAAATTGCAAGGCTGGTCACTGGAATTGCTAAAATGTTCACGCTTGGCCAATAAAAGTATTTTATTCCATTCATAGTCACTAAAATTAGTTGAACATTCACGTTTGGTCACTCGTCGTTAGTCTTCGCCGCCTCTGTTAACACCATTAGTATTTTGTTGTTGATTCACAAAATTTAGACCTGCCACGTCATATAATTCAACCCTCCATGTTAGAAAACCCTCCACATAAGGAAAAACCCCACATAATCCAACCAAACCACATAACCCGACTCCTGTCTCTCCTCTTCTTTTTCTTCCACGTTTCAATCTCCATCTCAGTTTCATCTTCTCCTTCAGTTGCCACCTCATCAATAATCATCACGGGAGTTTCTATTGGATGTGGAATCAGAATCCATCCATAAAATAAATATAACTACAAAATACAGAAATGTTCAATTGTATGATATTCTTTTCAAAATATGAAAATACTTCATCAACTCCATTGTAATTAGCGTCTTAACCATTGTCCACTCTTGAATATGAGTGAAGGAAAGCAAAGCATTCGTCAGTGGTATAATATTCAATGACAAAAGAACATCACTGAGGATGTGGCTATTCGAATATTAGACTAATAGCTGTAGTAGTCGGAAACTCGGAATCTGGGATACTAATAGTTGAATGGTGTATTCAAGATAAAAATAAGGATGGAAAAATTGAACACAAATTTTAACAGGAACTAAAACTAATTAGCTATATAGTTGTCATTAAGCACAATAAGGGCGACTAAACACATTACACATTGTGCTCATATCGGAACATTGTTCGCTGGCGATTGAAACTAATCATCGATCAAGGATTCAAAAAAACTTGATTATACTAAAAAAACTTGAAATATTTGTTAAAAACTTTTCCCATGATAGTTTGATTTTAGGAATGATACAGGCTCTACGCATATGATCATTGATTTATAGTGAAAGGTGGAGTGTTTTACCTGATGTATTTGTAGCTTTAGATCATTACAATCAAAATAGTAAAAGTGTAAAACTCTAAAACATTTGATATGTTCAAAGCAATTCATGGCTCAAACTCAATTTGGTATCATAATAATAATTTGCTCTACCTTGACTCATGACATATTTGAATTAAAAACGCATTTTGCTTTAAAAACACGTTGATCTCCCATCTAATCTATTTGTTTTTTTTATCGATTCCTAAACTATCAATGTTTTTTTGGTGTGACCAAAATTCTTAATTTTGATCTCCCCAAGTATTCGGTTCGTAGTTAATTGATATATGAGAAACAATTAGGAAATATGGCAAATAACCACCTAATTTAAATTCAGTATTGTTAACGAAATTGAGAATTTTTTTTAAGTAAAAGAACAAAAAATATCTTTAGGTTGTGAAACCAAAAAATCTCTAGTGATACCCAAAACTTTTTGGATGGTGTAATTTGAAAATAATACATTTGAGTTTCGTCATTCTCGTTGGTCTCCCCTCCCTTCACACCTCCTTCTTTGTGCAATTCGGTACAAAACTTTCCAATTCGCTAATTTAGAATGATATTTTGCTTTCTAATTTGTACTATGAATTCATCTTTCCAACTTCCAGAAATAAAATATCAAAATACCTATTTGAAAAATAGATGTTCTTATCAAATGAATTTCTCCGGCCACAATCACCGATTCTCCTTTTCCTATGATCAACATAAACCCATCTTTGGAACTGTCTTGTTAAATATCAAGAATGGAGTCTTAATTAATATTTTACTATTTTTCGATCTGGATAGTGACGAGTTTTTCTTATATCGTTGATGTCTTTATCATAAAAACTCCCATACCGGCTCGAATCTTATTGGCATCAACTTATGGAAATACACATACTGATCATAATACGCTAGCATTCGATCCGGATCAACAGTACATTCGACCGTTCAGCAAAAACCGTACTCCTCGTACCTAATGCAGCAGAGATCCGACTCGTGCCGGGACATCTTGCCTTGCTCATCTCGCTCGCAAATGACAAGCACCTCTCGCATTCCTTCTGATGGGCACTGCCCATTGCTGCAGGACGCGTAGCTGTTGAGCTTAATGGATGCGCCATAATGATCGCCGTAAGTGTGCCAGCCGCAGTGACTTCCCGGAAAAGACGCGATGAAGTAAAATTGGGTGGTCGCCACTCGCCAGTGCGGTAAGTTGCAGGTACGCCGCCTCAGAAGGCAGGTTCTGGTTGTTGCAGTAGAAATCTTCATTGCCGGCGGCGGACGTGGGAGCTGGGAGGCAGAGCGGATCGATCTGAGCTACAGCGATCGTAATGATTGCCGCCGCGGCGAGAATAATCATCATCGTTAGCATGGCGAGTAGTGGTGGTTGTTTTTTTTTTTGGCTATGAATACCAGTGGAATATATACAGCTGCAGAAACCGTACAACTAAAAATTGGACGGCAAAAACCAGACAGGGAATGGAGAGATGAATGAAGGGTTATTGTGAACTGATCTCGCATCGTACAACGGCTGGACACCGCCGGTGGAGAGGTTGAAAATCCCCATGTCAGAACCTCCCAGCAACTTCTTGTAATGGTAATCAAGCATATCATCCGTGAAATAGATGGAATTCGGCACAATCTCCGGGTGATCTCGAGCAGAGACGCAAGTTGAAGTGTTGAAGCCCAGGAAGAGAGCATACTCGCCAATGCTTCTAACCTCATCCCATTCCTTTGTATCCTCGTTCAGTTTCAAAACTTTGAACCGAATCGTCCGGTGGACCCTCCTGTCTAAACTCACCCCAGGATCGACACAGCGTTCGTCGTCCGAGTCCTCATCAAGAGCGACTATATCAGCTTCATCATCCTTCACGCCGTGATCAACCGGAATAATGTAACCATTATTGTCGTCATCCTCGCCCTCGTCCACATCCTCGCCCTCGACCTCGTGCTGGTGCACATCCTCGTCCTCCTCGGGGTACCTTATATTTCTAGTCACCATCATCAATTCATCTCCTGTTGGACTCACCGATAGGTAGTAATTCTCAGAAAAATCAGTAGTACTCTTACTGTCAATCAACAATCGGAGTCTTGGATGCCCTGCGATGGAGATATCGCAAATGAAAAGTCTGAAAAAGTTGTCCAAGACGTAGAATTGACCCCTCCAGTACACAACATCCGTAAAAGCCATTAGGCACGGCCCTGGGCGAGGAATCAACGTCCATGCTTCGTCGTCCCTAGGTCTGCAAAACGCTAGCCTATCATCACCAAGGCTGCAGCGTATAACCATCACAACAAAGTCCTCCTCCACAGCAGGGTCAGCAGAGAGAGCCATCTTACTTATGTATCTAGCCTCAAAGGACTTCTTTCCCCTGGCTATCTTGCAGCCCGAATCATTAACCCACAAGTATTCATGGCCGATTTTCTCCGGCCGGAACTTCAACACGTCAGGAAAACTCGTGATGGGGGGCAGCGCGATCTGATCTCCTGTGAGAGGGTTCAACAAGAACATAAATGGTGTCCTCTGCAAAGTAAGCACCCAACCGAAAGCAGAGCCGCGGCAGGTCGTTTTGTCTAAGCCTTGTGGCAACTCGATGTGGTGAAATTTTTGCTCGGCCACATCGAAAAACCGCCTACAGATATCGCTGCCTTTACACCCCGACGAAGTACTATCAATGTCGCCGCTGCAATACGGAAGCATCAGCCACGGCAAGGATTGCCTAAACTTCCCACGAACCGAATTTAGGCTTCGTCTCCACGGCTTGCAAGTGGCACGAAATCGGATAACATCCTTCAACTTGAACAGCCGTTGATCGACCATACAGAGGAGCTCCACCGGCAGTTCAGACCAATTATTAGATTCCGCCATCGGCCGTTCTTATTATTCCGGCGACAAGGATTAATCTGGCCAAGACAGTAAGCCCTCCAACTGCTATTTATTGATTTCCAAATCAAAGATTGGATTTTTCCAGCGGGGCTCCAAAACTAAATAGAGATTCGGTGAATCTCTACCTTCCCCTGGTCGGAATCGGATTTCCCACTCCGGAACAAGGTAGGACAGAGAGAGGCCGGAAACAGAGAAACAGATCTGATAGATAAACAAACGAAACAGAGCTTACCGCTGCGGGATCTCAGCTCGCCGGCGGCGAGCCACCGAAACCCAGAGGCGCCCCAATCCGTAGCTCTCAAGGGTCAGAACTGATGGATACTGACCGATCTTATGCTATCATTTGTGCGGCGGAAAGTAAAGCTCTGGTTTTGTCTTCTAAAGTTTCAGATGCCATAAGTGTTTGATTGCCTATACTACCTAGGCTAGCAAGCAAGTTGTCAAACCGGTTTATGCTAGTGTGCTAGTTTTGCTTGAGGAATGGTTCGACCGGTGGCACATACCGGTTTATGCCAGTCAATATTACAAATAAAATTATAAATACTCATATTGAAACATGACATTAACGTCAATACCTAAACATTTATACTTGAATCCAACAAATAACATCAATATTTAACTTTTATACTCATAAAGTAAATAATAAAATAATTTTTATCAATTAAATTCACTAAAATAAGGTCATTTTACTTGGAGATTCGTATATCGATCATGCCGGTCATACCGGTGGTGTCACGCCGGTTTTATGACCGGTATCGGTTGAACCAGGTACAACCGGTGGCACGCCGGCCGGCGTGACAACCATGCTAGCAAGGTTTGAGTTGGATTGAAACCTGAGCCCGGATATAAAAGTGTTTTTTTTTAAATAAATAACACGTTTATTCAAACCAAGATTGTCAAACCGGTTTAAGTGTTTAACTCATTGAATCGATTAAACAAGTAATTTAAAGTTTAATGGTCTAAATATATATATACAAATAAGATAGTATCTTAAAAAATCTAATGAATGAAATCAAATTTATCTTATATATATATCTATTAAAAAGGGGTTGTTATTTGTCACCTATAGAGCGACTAATAGCAATTCAGATTAAAAACTATCTAGTAAAAATTGCAAGGCTGGTCGCTGGAATTGCTAAAATGTTCACGCTTGGCCAATAAAAACATTTTATTCCATTCATAGTCACTAAAATTAGTTGAGCATTCACGTTTGGTCACTCATCGTTAGTCTTCGTCCGCCTCCGTTAACATCGTCAGTATTTTGCTGTTGATTCACCAAATATAAACCTCCCACGTCATATAATTCAACCCTCCACGTTAGAAAACCCTCCACATAAGGAAAAACCCCACATAATCCACAACCAAACCACATAACCCGACTCTTGCCTCTCCTCTTCTTTTTCTTCCACGTTTCAATTTCCATCTCAGTTTCATCTTCTCCTTCCGCTGCCGCCTCATCAATAATCATCACGGGAGTTTCTATTGGATGTGGAATCAGAATCCATCCATAAAATAAATATAACTACAAAATACAGAAATGTTCAATTGTATGATATTCTTTTCAAAATATGAAAATACTTCATCAACTCCATTGTAATTAGCGTCTTAACCATTGTCCACTCTTGAATATGAGTGAAGGAAAGCAAAGCATTCGTCACTGGTTTAATATTCAATGACAAAAGAACATCACTGAGGGTGTGGCTATTCGAATATTATATATAAAGGAGAAGTGAGGTTACTGTTGTCTAATTAATTACAACTTAGTACCTTACTTCTTTTTTATATATATTAAACTTCACTTTTTCTTATATTTTACATTTTGATACCCCAAATTTAATTAAATTATAACTTAGTTACTATAATGTACATTTTATATTTTGATACCCAAATTTAATTTTAATGTAAAATCATTGAACAATTATGTTTTGGTATCTAAATTTTATGAGATTTTTTAAATTTACATATTGGTCCTATTGGTCCAATGTTTAGATTTCACTTGAATTCATGAATCCAATCCACCAATTATTTTGAACCAATCCATGAGTCCAATCCACCATAACATAAAAGTATAAATTTAGTTTGTACCATACAATATGTTGTATCACTCGACACTAGGAGAAGATTCGACCATTTTATATGTGCTCATTATACGAAACATAAAATAAATTATAAAAGAGAGACGACTATAAAATATTGCAAAAGCGAATTTATAAACTCATTTAGTACAATTACGGGGTACTAAACAAACTTCTACTAACTACATGTAACAAAATATGTGACATCTACATAAGCAAGTGTCAATAAATTGCTATGGCAAAAAGGGTTGAATGTAGTATTGACGGCCAACTAAAAGAATTGGTCAAAACCTTTCCATCATCTACTTCCTCTTCGTTTCATTTTTCACTCGCCTTCCATAGCACTTTCTTTATTTCTTTCTTTGCCTTCTTCGTCCAACCCTAATTAGTATACTATTATTTTTATGCATTCTAATCACAAGTATGAACGAGTCCATGCACGATTGACCAACAGTTTAGAGAATTAATAATTGAACCATGAACCACTAACTTTTTCAGTTCAATGTCGAGTTCAATTAAAAGCATATATATATATGGTTATTACTTATTAAAAAATTGTCATTTTCCACTACGGGATTTGAAGACGTGAAATTTTAAGCGAGTTCCAATTTATATTACTGTAACTTCTCTCTAGAGTTTTTCTTTGTTACCCGGGCTAGAATTTTCAACAATTATACATGGAATGTTTGGCTAGGTATCTACACATATTAGATAAATAGTTTTCATTTTCTATAAAAAATTAAATAATTATCATATTAAATACATCACTATAAAAGGAATTAAACTTCAACTATGCAAATTATAGTTCAGTACCTAAACATATTAGATCTTTAGATTTATAACCTAATTTTTTTTTGCATATAGTCCTCAAAATATTGATGGGACATTACCTTTTAGTACCTATAATTTTTTGTGTATTGCATTTTGGTACTTAAACTTTTTAAGTTCTATAAATAGGTCTAATTTTTGTATGTGCAAATAAAATACTCTCGAATAAATGAGTATTCATACCCAACTCATCCACATTTAGATTATGGAAGTAAATATCTATACCCTACGCAAACCCATCTACAAACTCTTAAACTCATATATACGTCACTTATACCCTACCCAAAATCAATTGGTCTACTTGGGTTTAGGTAAATATCATTTATTAGCCAGAATTTTCAAAAAAGTAAAAATAGATTGGATGTCGACCGCCATATTTCTCAGTCAATATTACTAACAAAACTGCTAACTAAAAATTAATTGTAGACTAATAATACTAACAAAACACTATAACGGGCTACATAATACATGTCCATATGTCATGTACGCCTCGCGACAAGTCGCGGCATCGCCACCTAGTTAGACTAATAGCTGTAGTAGTCGGAAACTCGGAATCTGGGATACTAATAGTTGAATGGTGTATTCAGGATAAAAATAAGGATGGAAAAATTGAACACAAATTTTAACAGGAACTAAAACTAATTAGCTATATAGTTGTCATTAACCACAATAAGGGCGACTAAACACATTACACACTGTGCTCATATCGGAACATTGTTCGTTGGCGATTGAAATTAATCATTGATCAAGGATTAAAAAAAAAAACTTGATTATACTAAAAAAGCTTGATGTAAACTTGAAATATTTGTTAAAAACTTTTCCCACGATAGTTTGATTTTAGGAATGATACAGACTCTACGCATATGATCATTGATTTATAATGAAAGGTGGAGTGTTTTAACTGATGTATTTGTAGCTTTAGATCATTACAATCAAAATAGTAAAAGTGTAAAACTCTAAAACATTTGATCTGTTCAAAGCAATTCATGGCTCAAACTCAATTTGATTTCATAATAATAATTTGCCCTACCTTGACTCATGACATATTTGAATTAAAAATGCATTTTGCTTTAAAAACACGTTGATCTCCCATCTAATCTATTTGTTTTTTTATTGATTCCTAAAATATTAATGTTTTTTGGTGTGACCAAAATTCTTAATTTTGATCTCCCCAAGTATTCGGTTCGTCATTCTTGATGCTCTCCCCTCCCTTCACACCTCCTTCTTAGTGCAATTCGGTACAAAACTTTCCAATTCGCTAATTTAGAATGATATTTTGCTTTCTAATTTGTACTATGAATTCATCTTTCCAAATTCAAGAAAGCAAATATCAAAATACCCATTTGAAAATCGATGTTTAATGAATTTATCCGGCCACAATCACCGATTCTCCTTTCATATGATCAACATAAACCCATCTTCGGAACTGTCTTGTTAAATATCAAGAATGGAGTCTTAATTAGTATTTTTACTATTTTTCGATCTGGATATTGACGAGTTTTTCTTATATCGTTGATCTTTTTCTTGTAAAAACTCCCCTACCAGCTCGAATCTTATTGGCATCTACTTATGGAAATACACATACTGACCATAATCAAGGTTCTAAAAGGCGCTAGGCGTAAGGCAGGCGCTCGGCTCCTGACTTGCGCCTTGTCCGATTAGGCGTAGTCTAGGCGCGCCTAGGCGTTCAGAGCATAAATGGAAAAATTCTCAAATATTTCCTGTTTTCTGGAATAATTCATATAATCCAAGTGCATATAAAATTAACAATGTCTAGTTCTTAACAGTAAACACTTAACATAACAAATAACAAGCAAATAGTGACCAATCATCTGGTAATATGTGCTTATAGAGGCAAGAAGCTTGTGCTACGTACCGAGGAGAAGGAAGGAGCATCAATTAACGAGTTTTGACTTTATTTCCCACTATAGCAGCAGAGCGGTGTGAAGGCGAGAAGAGTGATCGATGACTTTCTCCTGCGGCGACAGAGAGCATCAAATGGGGTGAGAGCTAGGGCGGCAGGCGGCAGCAGATGTTACTTCCCGTGTTTCTGATTTTCTAGGGCAAGAGGCAAGTTTCTGATTTTCTAGGAAAAAACGAAGAGTATTGGGTTTAACAGCCTAAGCTCGCCCAGGCACGCCTTCTCTCCACTAGGCGCAAACTGAGCGCTATTCCTACCTACTAAGCGCTACCAGCGCCTTTTACAACGCCTATGGCCAAGTCAAGGCGATCCTCCACCGCCCAGCGCCTAATTGAGCCTAGGCGTGCGCCTAGGCGCGCCTTTTTGAACCATGACCATAATACGCTAGCATTCGATCCCGACCAACAGTACATTCGGCCGTTCAGCAAAAACCGTACTCCTCGTACCTAATGCAGCAGAGATCCGACCCGACCTGAGCCCCACTTGTGCCGGGACATCTTGCCTTGATCATCTCGCTCGCAAATGACAAGCACCTCTCGCATTCCTTCTGATGGGAACTGCCCATGCTGCTGGAAGCGTAGCTGTTGAGCTTAATGGATGCGCCATAATGATCGCCGTAAGTGTGCCAGCCGCAGTGACTGCCCGGAAAAGACGCGATGAAGTAAAATTGGGTGGTCGCCAGTGCGGTAAGTTGCAGGTACGCCGCCTCAGAAGGCAGGTTCTGGCTGTTGCAGTAGAAATCTTCATTGCCGCCGGAAGTGGGAGCTGGGATGCAGAGCGGATCGATCTGAGCTACAGCCATCGTAATGATTGCCGCCGCGGCGAGAATAATCATCATCGTTAGCATGGCGAGTGGTGGTGTTGTTTTTTTGGGTATGAACCAGTGGAATATAATCAATTTATACAGCTGCAGAAGCCGTCCATGGCACTAGACTTCGAGGATTTGAGACAGAGAATTTTTGGACGTTGGTGATGATGTGGATACGTTGACCAGCCAATCACGAGGGAGTTCTGAATAAGGAAAACTCAAATCCGCTTAGGGGTCATTTGGATGCAGGTTTTGGGTGTGGGATTTGGGCACAATCCTACATAATGTGGGATTTTATTAAAATCACTCGTTTGGAAAGCAATTATATGATAAGAGATTTTAAATATTAGAGATTTCAGAAACCCACAATTGTGGGATTATGAAATAGCTGATGGTGATCAGCTATTTTAAAATCCCACACAAATCCTACAAATTAAAAACCTAGGTTTTTAAACAAGTGATTTGAGCCAAAATCCCACAAATTAAAAACCTAGATCCAAATGACCCCTTAGGGTCTGTTTACTTTCATTTCTGTTTCCTGTTTTTGAGAAAACAGATGTTGAAAACAGGTGAAAACAACATTTTGTCGTTTTCGAAAACAGCAGGAAGTTGCCACTTTCTGTTTTCATAGTTGGAAACGAATAGAAAACAGAATGAAAAGTAAACAAGTTTTCTCATTTCAGTTGCCAAATTTATCACATGAAAACAGAAAACAGGAAACGAAAATGAAAGTGAACAGGGCCTTAGTTATTCGCGTTTTGGCAATTGTTGTTTTTGTCTTTTTCTTTTGATGGACCTAATCCCCGCATCTCCATAATTTGGGCTTTATTTTTCCCGCGAGCCCATTAACAGCGTGGCCTAAAGGGCCCAACACCATCATCTTACGACGACCATAGTCTCTCTCTCTTTTCTTCCTAGCCCCCCCGAGAAAATCTCTTCCCGGAGAGCGAACCAAAAACCCCTAATTCCTCCCGATATCGACCGACGGCGAAGCGGAAAGCTTAGGGTTGTTTTTGTTCTTCAAGAGAAAATGGCGAACGACGCAGAGGCGGTGGACTTCGAGCCGGAGGAGGACGATTTGATGGACGAGGAAGGAGCCGTCGACGTCGACGCCTCCTCGCCGCGGGCGCCGCATCCCAAGCTGAAGTCCGCGATTACCGGCGGCGCCTCCACTTCGGTTGCGCCGAAGAAGACTAAAGGCCGAGGGTTCAGGGAGGAAGCTGACGCCGAGCGGCAGAGTCGCCTGGCTGGGCGTGACTTCGATTCACTCGGCACGGAAGGCGGTCCTGGTGCTCAAAGATGTTAGTTTCCTCTTTCCCCTACCTTTTGGCCTCTTAGATTGGTGGTTTTCAGTGTCTGTTTGTAGATTGAAGTAGGAATTTTGGAGGGTTTGAGGGTTCTGTATAGGTGAAGTCTAGGCTCTTAGTGTATTTAGGATTTGGACGTGTGATTTGGCATTCAGTGTGCTAGATTTGAGTTTCCTTTGAACAATGAGGTGCAACATAAGCCAATTGAGCTGCCATCGGAAAAGAGAGCTGACAGAGTAATGTGGAAATCTATGTTTGTCTAGTGAGCTTTGCCTCTTGCTTCATGGCTTGCCTAATTCCTTCCCATTTAGGCTGCTAACGTTTTATTATCTGAATGCTATATCTCTGGTTGGAACTTGAACTATGCTTCATGCATAGTTCGAAGGTATTTCTTCAAGGTGTGTTATATCTAAACTGAGAAAATTCCCGTCTGATTTGTGCAACTCACTGGTTGGCAGCCATTGAGGGATGGATTGTTTTGGTTACTGGTGTGCATGAAGAGGCGCAAGAGGACGACTTGCAGAATGCTTTTGGCGAGTTCGGAGAGATTAAAAATCTGCATTTGAATCTCGATCGGCGTACTGGTTTTGTTAAGGTAAACAAGTTCCTCCAATTTCCTTTCTTCTAGGCTGCCTGAGAGTGCATGTTATGTCACTAAAACTGAGGAACATATTCATTGGTTTGCTAGGGATATGCGCTGATCGAATATGAGAAGTTTGAGGAAGCACAGGATGCTATTGCTTCAATGAATGGAGATAAAATACTTGAACAGACTGTCAGTGTCGATTGGGCGTTCTGCAATGGACCCAGCACTGGTCCTTTCAAGAGAAAGAATGCAAGGTTTGTCCACTTTTTCGATTCTGCAACATTTTGTTCATGTCTTAGTATTGAAAGAGGAGAGCATGCTATCTTTTTAGCTTATTATGATCACATTGGCCTTACTAGGATAATCAGGTCCATTAACCATATGTTTTATTCAATGGCCTTATTATGATCTCATGGCAGTTGTATAACATGGCTTTCTTGGAAAAGATCAATAGGACTGGAAAACCTGGTAGTTCTGTGACTAGACTATCCTGTTGTTGGAGCTACACCTGTGACGGTCAATAGTAAAAACATTTTTTAATAATAAACATGAGAACATCTTTGGTTAAGATTCTTCTTTGATTTTATGGCTCTTTTCTTTTTTATTAATGGTTCTTCGGCTGAGCTTCCTTGTAGTGGTGTTTCCCTTGGCCTAGTTTATACTATCTGCAATTAGCCTATACTTCCCGAGACTCGCTTAATGTATAGTTGTTTGGTATCTGACGGGACAGGCTATTATCGGGTAATAAATAGATTATACCATGCCCACCAATGGTGTTTTCCTTAACGTATAGTTCTTTGCTGTGCAATTCTGTAGCATTGATCGATTTGGTTATGTGAAGCAATGTGTTCAGAGACCATGTTGTCTTCTATTGCTGCTCAGTTTTGAGTAATTCCAGATTCATGGTTTGGCGGCTGGGTTTTTTTTTTTCCGCTTAACGGGGGAAGTTTCTGATTGGTGTAGGAATGCACGAACGCACCGTTCAAGGAGCCCGAGGAGGCGATACTAGGTGGAAGTAGCTGTGGTGCTTTCGTGTGCTGGACAGCGAGGAGTGGTCTGGTGCTGTGTGATATGTGTCTGTATTTCGATTAGAGTTAAGAGTTGTTGCTGCAGTGTGATGATGGATGGTTGGTGCTGAGAATTTGTTAATTTTTTTTTTTTTTTGCTGTGGAATCCCCTTCTCATTGCTTTGCCGTTTCAGCAGTTCCGGATGGGTTGTAAACTGAAGTTTGTAGTAGCACTTTCATTTCCGACTCGAGGTCGAAACTCGGCTTATTTCTCTGTTCTCTAACCTTCTTTGATCGCTTCATGTGGTTTTGTCTTGTAAGGGTGGCCGAAAACAATGCGGAAACTTTCCATATCTACCACCATAAAAAAAAAATTATAAAAATACCACTGTTTTCGGAGAAATTCTAAAACTAACACCATTCGTCGAAAACTGCACACTAAAGGTGGGGTTTACAGATGAACCGCCTGGGGAAGGAGCGGTCAAAGTTAGGGTAGCCAACAAATTACAAGCGGCAGTCTTCAGAACTGTTGGATCACAGAGCGATTAAAGGGCGGACTATGAGCTACGTCACCGTCAGGACCAAGAATCGTAGGTGGAGGGGGTGGTTTCTCGCCTGGGAAAACGCAAATCGTGGCGGGAGGGGCGGTTATTGTGTGTGCAAAATTACAAAATCGTCCCCAGCAGGCGGTCCGACTCCTATACAAACCCTCATCTCATCCCCATTTTTTCACACCAAAACTCATTCTTCTCTCTCTCTCTCTAAGATTGTTTCTCTACCCATCCCCCCCACACACACACAAAAAACCTAGGAAATAGTGGTCTGTTGGTTGCGGCCAAATATGAACCGTCATCAGAAAACATTTCTTTGGTTTTTCCTTCAGAACTTGTCAAATCTCTGTCCGACTTCTTGAGAAAATGGATGATTGGTGCCAAGAGGAGGGTATTTATTATGATGTCTATTAAACGGTACAGACTCATTTTATCAGATTTTTGTTGTTGTTATAATTTTTTTTAATTAATCTGCATACTAATTAATTTATGTTGTTGTTATTCTATCGTAGGTTGGGGAGGACGTGGATATATACAATTAGAGATATTATGTTGATTAAGAACCGATTGATCCAACTGTGTTGTACGACCAACCTAACCATCGTTCAATGGATGTTTGAAACGATCACGAGGTACATACAATTCCTCATCATTTGTTAGTTTTATATTTTGTTAATGTACTTAGTGGTACACTTATATTTTCTTGAAGGTGTTTGACAGCAAATTCAGTTCATATGTCACTTTTTCATAAGAGATAAGATAATTCAAATATATGAGCCAAATTATAATCTTAGAAAGTATTTAAAATTACGAAATAATAGTGAACCAGTCTTGACTTCGAAACATGTACCACTTTGTGAAAAAAAATTTAACCTATATACGAGCTCAACCTCTTACAAACCTTTATTAGGGTCACACACGACACTATACTTATATTTTCTTGACGGTGTTTGACATCAAATTCAGTTCAAATGCCACTTTTTCAAAAGCGATAAGATAATTAAAATATATGCACCAAATTATAATCTAAGAAAGTATTTAAAATAATGAAATAATAGTGAATTGACTAATCGACCGGACTCAAAACTAGTTTGATTTAGGGCAATCCTCATATCCGGTCAATGCAAAAACTTGTTGACTAGGCCGGGAAGGGTTGCATAAGTAAAATCCCCATTACTATTAGTAGGCGGCAGGAGGAATATTGCCAGTTTTTGTGGTAATTTTCAGTCCATTGAATGGCATTGTCTGAACCTTGACCACATTCTTATTTGCTTTGTTATCTTAGCTTAGCTTAGCTTCACTATACAATAACACTCTTCTAGGGTCAACTTTGTACACATTTCATGTCCTATTTTCGTTACTATAGCTATGTGTGTGTAAGTGTGTATGTCTATCTCACGATGCCACGGCGGTCCAGTAATTCGAGATGCACAAGCTCGTCGGCGTTCCAATCGTTCGAGACCAAACCCATTTGTCTCCTTCAACCCTTCTCATTTCTGCCAACTGCACCATGAAAATAGAACGACATGTCAAACATCAACATAGTACTTGTCACCATGAAAATCAAAGAGCTCCATAATCACACACCATAACTTGTCATCTCTGCTTAATTGCTTACCCTGCCATCTCTCAGCTCAAAGATCACACTGTCTTCAGAGAATGGGATCGGTCTCGTAGAAGCCACCTGTTCACATAACCATTAACCACACATTCAGTTACTTGTGTTACAAGCTAGTCAAAACCACTGCCGCCAGTCCACAAGTGTGAAAAAAGAGAAGCTACAAATTGTAACCTTGGGATCACAGTGTGGGTTGTGTTCATGCAAGCTTTCTTCATCCTTCTCCAACTCCTTGGCAAAACTTTCATCCATGCACACTTCAAATTCTCCTCCTTCATCCTCCTCCTCCTCCTTCCCTTTACCAACATAAGGAAACCCACAATTTCTCCACCGCCACGTCATCAACTCGTCCACATACCTCACATACACCTTCCCATCCGACCCCACAAGCAGCAATTGTCCACCATGGAAGCAGGGGCTTGGCGAAGTGGCAAAGGCGACGCCTTTGTGTGGCGTGCCATGTTCGATCCAGCTCCATCCGTCCCCCACGTTCCAATGGTACTCGACCAGGCCACCTTCATCAGAAACCATGAATAGAGAGCCTGCGAGGGACGATGATGGCGATGTTGATCTCATTGGGGTGCCTGGCAATTTGGAGAGGGTCAGGTGCTGGGATTGGTAATGCTCGTGCCAGAGTTCTGTGACTTTGTTGTACTGATAGAGTCTGCCGTTTTGTCCTGTGATGAAGACTATGTTGTGCCTGAACAGCTCCTGGTCTACTATGGTTGCTACTTTGGTGTTTGGTGGGGTTCTGCAGTCTTTCCATCTGAACTTCCTCAGTGCTACCTGAGTAACATGATAAGTCTAAGATATTGTAGAATACATGGATTTCAAAAGATAATGTAAAGGGTATTTTGGTATGTGAGGATTGTTAACTTTGGTTGTAGTAGTACACTAGTACTTACAGTGAACTGAAGCAACCTTCCATTCCTGCTAACAAAGAAGATTGAGTCTTCTGCTGTGACTTTGAGTGCTCTGCCAGGAATCCCATCCCAAGGAGGGCCTCCATTCACCTGTTTCCCTTTTCTCATCGCCGTACAGTTAATCCATCCTAGATCATTCCCACTCCTCTCCCTTATAAGCAAGCTCCCATAAGTATCAACCAAGAACAAGCTCCCATTGTAGTTCCCCAGAGCTCCTCTCATGGCAGTTGGATGGTCATGCCTCAACCACAGCCACACGTTCTCGGTGTACAGATACTCGAATGTAAATCCACCATCTGTTATCAGGAAAAATGATCTCCCTCCATGCATAACCCTCAGCCTAAAGTTGGCATTCACCCAATTGTCTGAAAGACCAGCATGTTCTTCTGATGATGATGGTGGTGACTTGACTGAAGAATGGCCTGCTGATATTAAGTAGTCCTGTTGTTTTCGCCTCCTAACCGTTGACCTTGTGGTGGTTTTGACTTCATTGTTGTTTTGATCATCTTTCATCCCCATGATGCAGTTTAGTGGTCCTCTCTCTTCTCTGCAGTACTCCAAGTTCCAACCTTCAGTCTCTGGGGAGTCTAAGGTTGACCATTGGTATCTGATGTTAGATGTTGGCTTTCGTCGGTTGCTGACTTGGTAGTTTGGACCAGTGGCCTCTCCTCCAAGTCCAGGGGGATGTAGCTCGGCGAGCCTTCCATCGTCTAGTGGGAAGAGGATTCTTCCCAGTTGGAGCTGGAGTCCTGCAATTCCTCTTGCAGCTTTTGCTTGCTCAGGATGCATATGGTTTAGCCACTGTTTGCTCTCATGAGCATTAGTGCCTGTGTTATGTTAAGGGTTGAGCAATGACGCAAAAATAGAGCAATGTGATACAGGAAAAGCCACTGATGTAACTCACTCACCTGAACTTTTTGACATTCGATATTCGAGGACTGATCCGGTGGATGTGGTTAAGAACAAGGAGAAGAACTTGTCATTTGATTCATCCTGCTGAGCTTGTGTAATGGATGTCAAGAAGTGATGATGGTCACTGGGACTTTCATGAGTTATCCATCTCCATCTTCTCTGGTGCAATCTTCTCTCCACCAAGTTCCCTGTCTGAAATCGAAATTCGGATTAAAATTGCAGCTTCTGAAGCTCAAGATCCTCTCATCAACTGGAAACTATGAAGTACCTTGGTTAAGAGAAAGAGAGATACTGAGCTATCTCCAGTCATTCCATGTAAGGAATAGCCCATTGCTGGCAGCAGAGAAGTCTCTGACATCGTTCCTTCGCCCCATATGTGCTTCTTCCATGATGGTTTTGACATCCCATCATATTCATACAGATCACCTGTTGAACTGCAGTTAAGGTAACAATAAGAGTTCTGATGAGCTAAAGTTTCAACCTTTGGAGCTTCAAGTAAGAAATGAGAGGGGAAATTTCACCACCTTATAGTGTATAGGACATCTGATTTCACAGTGGCTGCATCAGCTATTGCTGCAACATTTCCACCTGGAGGTTTTCCATGATGGACCCATCTGTTCTATGTTTTATGCATAAAGATTAAAAGGTGAACAATTAGTGCAGAATCTACAAAACTTCTAAAGATCAATTATTTTTCTGCAGAAGTCTTAGCTTTGATTGATTACCTTGGAGGCTCAACCTCACTCAGCTCCAGCAATGACCCACTCTTTGTGCAGAAATAAACTTTCCTGTAAAAACCCAGAAATAAAGAAATATAATTTCAAATGACCAATCATTTGGGGAACCTTTGCTATAGATCAACAAAATTCTTAATCAGAACAAGGAAGAAAAACTATGGCACTCACACCCTGTCATTGGAAACAACACCAGACTTGATTATGACTCTGGAACTTAGCTCCCCGTCAATGGAAGGATTGAGCTCCACCCAAATTGGCTGTGCAATCTCAGTAAGTTGCATCTGAACAGAAAGGTAAGACAGTAAATATGGTTTTAAGTTTTAACAGACAGTCAAATAGGAAAAAATCTCCTAACTTTCACTTGGTACCTGGTACAAGACTCCTGATTCTGAAAGGGCAAGAATGGTCTGATTAACAATGAAAACACCAATTGCATGGCCAGCTGATAAGGGAAGATCGTGTGGAGCAATCACCCACTGAACTCCATTCCAGAACCTCTCATAGATAGACCCACTTTCCCCAGTGACCCAAATGGAATTGTCAGACATCTTGGTCAACGAAATTCTCTTCCTTTGTGGGAGAGGCAATTCACCATGTTCCATCTCTTTATGATTGCTCTCCTTCAAGCTGCTGAGAACCTGGTCTCCTTCCAACAGCTTACCTTCTCCTTCTCCTTTTGATGATGACACCCCACCACCAATGGAACCCACTTTGGTACAGTTATCATCAACACAGGAGAGCAGATCAAAGGGGAGTTTCAGCTCAACCCAGGTGTTGGAATCTTCATTGAATTGCCAGAACACATCACTCATCTGCTGAAACTTCTGCTGCTGTTGCTGATTGCTTTGTTGGTGTTGGAGGTAGTCAAGTGGGCACCAAGAAGCAGCAAAACCAATCATGAGAATGAAACAGAAGAAGATGAAAGTTACCATGAAATGGAACAAAGGCATGTTTTTCCTTGGGGAGAAACCAGAAAGAAAGAAAGAAACTTGGTTATGAATGAGGGAAGAAGGGCAGGTAATTTAAGGTTGGGCCAGTTCTGTGTACTTTCTTCTACATGGTAGGGCCATGGCCTATAAGAAGAAGAAGTAAGCTTTGGTGAATTTGATACAAAAAAATGACTTGACTATCAGAATTGATGGTAAAGACCTGGATTTTTTCCTCCTTCCTTTTTCTGGGGTCATGGATTTCTTTCTTCAGGAAGTTGGGGGCTTTGGGAAGAGGAAGATGTGTCCCCCCAATACAAAAGGAGTTGGGAAATGGGTAGTTAATGCTGATAGATTGGCTTTTAGATTGTTTAACAGAAGGGATTTCTCCATCTGGCAACTCTCTTTCTCCTTATTTGTCAACTCTTTGGTGGTCTAATGAGCTAAGCACAGTGGAAAATGGAACTCTATTAGTGTTGCCTCATCTCTACTTTCTCTACTTTGTACATTATTGATTACCACCTTTTTGTTTTCACTTCTCAAGATGTCAGTAAGTAATGGACTAATGGGTGGTTATGACTTTCTGCCAAAATGTTTTTTCTTGGCTTCATCAAGCCAAATGATCAATGGTGGAGATGCAACCATGGATCCAAAAATTATTGGAATGATGAAATCACCTTGTTGCTTTATCTGGACTAAAAATAGATCATACGAAACAACAATTAATTCACGATATTACTAGATAACTTTTTTAAAGAGTATTCTTACTTATTACGTGACCGATCGATTTCAAGATCTATTGATTTACAATCGTTCACCGTTTAGTTCTGTTTTATTTATTAATTTAATGATTTTCATTGATGGTTTCAATGTTTGGGACCTAGTGAAATATGCATCTCTCCATCAATATTTTTATCAATCTCACAATGATAGAGAATAATGGGTTTGGCTTTTGTAAAAGCAGCCTCCTTTATTGAAGTTCCATGTCCCTTACTCCATTACTGTCTACTGAGAAGAATAGATTCACTATGCCTAGCTAGATGCTGAGTTTGATTTCATTTTCAACAATCTGCCCAACAAACTAATGCTAGGTGACCTTAATCATCTTTCTCTCTTTCTTTTCTAATACATGCAGTTCCTTTTCTGTTCTAAAATGGTGTATCTTTAACTATATTAGTGTTAATAGATCCAACTTGTCTTTGATAGAGACATGGCACAAGGTGTGGTTAGAGTTTTAATCTTTCTTTTCTCTCCTTTAAAATATAAATATTGTAATTAATTCCAAACCCCACAAAATTTCTACAACTAATACATCAGAATGAATATTCAGTTGGGCCCTCTTTACATCAAGACTCCCCCATATGATACTCCATAACCCTACAAAGTTGAAACCTTTGATTAATAACTCTAAACCTCACCCCATGATGATTCCATCACCATTATTAACCTGAAGAGCCTCTCTTTGTGGGGCTGCCATTGATTTGCCTCTTTGTTTGTCCCAAAAATACGTTTCGTATTAGTTCAACTACGTATCTAAATTTGTATCACGATTCTATCACTGTTTTATCTAAAATGCTGAATCAATAACCTTATCAATCTCATAAAACTTTGAACTTGGTGAGATTTTCCTTCTTCTTCTTAAATTCTTTTTTGCATGGTGAAATGGTTATGGATTGTTGGAGGTATGTCAGGAAAAACATGTGGTGGGTCTTGGTAAAGTTTTGGTTTGCAGGATGGAAAATTGGAATCTTTAGGGTAGCCATGTCAATTCTTTTTGGCATGAATCTTGCTTGTCTACATGTGGGTCTCTAAGATTCTAATGATCTCCTTAATGTATGGTGGTTGGCACTTAGGGGGTATGACTTATATATTGGTGCATTAATTATTCAATGTGGTTAAGCAATTCTGATCATGGTGAGTACTAGTATTTAAAAAATTGGATTGTTTATGATAGAGCAATTACATTAATTATTGTTCAAGGAAAAATAATTTCCATGGGATGTGGATTGTTGCGGGGATGGTTGGTGAGGGGACTTGCCCTATCAAAAGGGTAACAATACATCGCGAAAACCAACCCCTCAATCCCACATAGTGCTATCCGAAAAATATGTGGGTGATTCATATATAGCATCTCGTTCTTTTATAAAAAAAAATTAGGCATTACCTTTCTCTGAAAAGGAGGTGATCCGTCCGCACTTTTCAATACGATTAACTTGTTAGAATTTTCAATTTTCCAAGTTTAGCAGTAACATATTGTTTCCATGTCCAAAAGCGTATGAGGTAAGGTATAGCTATAACCGATACGGTCTCCGTCCTCTAAAGCATCTCTGTAAAGTAATAAAAACGAGTTGGCTTTCCTTCTCAAGGAAGCATCTCGAAAGTTCTGAAATCTAAGATTGATGCCTCACTCGAACTCTATCTCATTCCCTACCTACTCCTTGGGAAGTACCAAATAAATGACTACTTGAATTAGGATTTTGAGCATAAAAGTTCTCACACATCACGATGGATTTGTCTTATTTAGCACGACGTGTTGCTTCAATGTTGTTGTCAGTATTGGGAAAGTCTTAAGTTCTTTGATATGGTTGGTTCAATGGCTCCAGGTGATATGGAAAAGCCTGAAAAACTATTTCATTTACAACGTCCAAAATGTCATTACGAACTCAAAGTCTAATCGATTTTGAACTTTATTCTAATGTATACGATTTCTGAGTGTAGGTGAATGAACATAGTTGATCATATACATATAAAAATAAATAACTTGTATTTGAAATTCGGAAAATTTTACAAATGCCTGTATAATATTTTATAGTAGTTTATGCTATGGATATGATATGATGAAGAAGGGAGAGTATTAAGGAGATAACCAAACAACAAGAAAATAAATTGAAAAATAATAGAGGGACATACATATCAAGATATTGAAAGAATAATATAGTAGCTAGAGAAAGGAACACAAGGAGAGGTTTTATCCTTTTCATGCCTTTGTTCTTTGCCCTTCATCCCCACCTTGTCTTCTCACCTTAAAACCCACTCTCTCTCATATAGCCATAGATTCAGTGAGAGCAGGATAATGAGGCTATTGGGTTGGGAAGAAAGGGACACATGAGATGTAAGTTGTAACATTTCCCTCCCAAATAGCCTATGGATTTTGGTCTTTTTTTTGGGGCATATGTGTAGGGTTTCTATATAATGAGGCCATTTTGGAGTTGGGGACCAAATCCAACCAAAAGGGATACTAACTCCCCCACCCTTTTGTCACTAGTGACCATCATTCTCTTGTTATCGTTGGTTTTCATTTCAGTTGCTCCTAAGTTCAATATTGTTTTTATCAAACTGTATATGGCGTACGAGAAAAAGAATTTCAGAGTTCTCACAATATTAGCTTGTATAACTTTTTTCAGTTTTTGTGAAGACTAGCAAAGATAAAACCAAAGAGAGAGTTGCCCCTCCATTTGACACTCCCATATTGTATTTAATTTTCTCATTATGAGATTTAGGAGTAAATTGGAAGGGAGATAGTTGTCATCATGTCAATTTGGTATCTTCGTAACATAATTACTTATCAAAAGTCCTCTTTGGTACAGAAAAAGGTTAGTGTATGACTGGAGAGTTTGGGCCAATTGGGTCAACAATGACTGTTTCACAAAATGTAGGGCCAAAGATCTTAGGTGGGCTTTTCTTAGATTGAGGCCTCATTCCAACAAAATCTGCTGCTGAGGTGAATGTGGCAGTTTGGTAGATATGTTTGGACTCCCAAATTGAAGAAGGAAAAGCATATCAAAGCATGAACCAAACATTGACAACTTTCAAATTTACCAAAGAGAGAATTCCATAGCACATCAACCTAACTTCCTGGCTGATAGCTACAACTGCACTCTAACTAAACACCTCTGCTATGCATATTTCAGCTTCTAGAGGGCATCTAAGTTGAAAGAGTTTGCAGGCTACTACTCTGACTCGATTTAACGATGAGCTAAATGCTAACTGAAATTGGTGAAAGGTAACAACTTTTCTTTGATGCTGCCAAATTGGTGATGAACAAGAAAACAGCATCTGAGACCTAACAAGAACCTTTGCTGCTATATCTTATGGCATGACGAGGCTCCTCAGCTCGTCCTCTCTGGCGTACCAACCCGGTATAATCCTCGAAGCATGAGGATATATGTCCTTGTAGGAGTACTTGAGTGTCCCTTCTGTCACTCCTGTAACTAGCGACACATCTGCAAAAAAGTAGGAAAAAAGAATGAAACTTTGCTGAAGAGCGAGTCCATTTGATCATCTAGTCTTTTCAATTTTCATCATAATCTCACCTTTGAGAGGTTTCTTGTCATCTGAGAGCTGAGTAATCATGAAAATCACTGCTGCTGCTACCGATATAGGGCTTCGCCTGGAAAACCAAAAAGACAAGCGAGCAACAAACAAGGCTTAGTCTTTTCAAGAGCAGTCTTGCTATTTGATCATGGAGGAGCCAGTTTTAGGTCAATCGAGTTTCACCTTATATCAAGCTCTTCTGATTTCAGCACAGCTTCTTGAGCCGCTTTCACAGCTTGATTGGACATTCCAAGGTTGGAACAAAACCGTTTCTGCAGCAGCAAGTTCTAACATCAGGAGGCAAACTCAACATAACAAGGAGAAAACAGAAGCACATTGCTTTTCATGACCAAAAACTAACCAGAAAGTCCCCTGCATGAATGGTTCCCATCTCCACAGATTGACCCATCTCTAGCTCCAGTTGCTTGACAATGAAGTCTTTCGCGCGACCAATCTCCTTCTTCGTCGCTCTATTGGAAACTGAACAAATCTCTGAGCAGAAACAAACACACACACATACACACACTCACAGAAGTTCAGTAATGTCTTTGTATAGCTAATTGCATTTTCTGTTCAGCTCACAGAAACCTTTACCCTTCACAGTCCGCGGCTTGTCTTCTTGACGACAAGCAATGTAAATGCAAGCTGCCAGAATTGCATCATGATTTCTCCCTCTCAGATGGTTCTGATCTTCCACCTTCTTGTAAATCTCATTGGCTCTGTCCTTCACTCCCAGAAAAAAAAAGCAAATAACGATGGGCAGTAAACTAGATAAACTAGGATTTCACCAATCTAGGCTTGGTCTAGAATCTCATTAAACAGAGCATTTAGCATTTTAAACCAAGAGATCATAGGTTCAAAACCTCGTAAACACCCAATAATCAACAGTATCACAACGATCTATGGGTTTGCTTACTGTGCTAGAACTCGAAAGCAACCAAACCAAACCATTCAAACACAAATAAAGTTCATTGGGGACATTTCACAAACAGGATGAATTCAACAGAAAGAAAAAAAAGGCATCACCGTCAGCTCATACCTTAATAGTCGCAACCAGCCCCAGCCTGCAAAACAAAACAAAAAAAATTCGATGAAACCCATAAAAAATTCAAGCAAAAGGAACGAACTTTGCCAAGAGAAACAGCGAAATTCGAATTTCGAAGTGATGCCCACCTATCAGCCATTACGGCAATGGTCTTGAAGGCCTGAATCAGGGCCCGATCAGGATTGGACCCACGGCCCTGCCACCGTTCCAAGGAACCATTCAGGAACTCGCCGGAGGTGCCGTTGGGCTTGGAAATCACGGTGGAGAGTCCGCCGTCGGCGAGCAGAGGGTTGGCCGGACCGCCCACGCGGACGGGGTCGTTGTCGGAGTAGTCGTCGGAGAAAGTCCGCCACTCGGACCTCTCGTCGATGGAGTGAGCCTCCAGGACGAGGCCACATTCGGTGCAGACGGTGTCGCCGGCGGAGTGGTCGAAGACGAGCTCCGTCGGGCGGTTGCACTCCGGGCAGCAGTCTGAGTCAGCCATTTTTCCGGTCAGGTGGGTTTTTTGCGCACTTTTGCTGCTGTGTCTTTTTTTTTTTACCTTTTGAAAAATTGTGTTGCCTCTTTTGTCTTATATATACTCCTGCCGCTTTTAATTGAACATGGCAAGACAATAAATACAGGTTTCTTTTTTTTTCAGTTACTTAAAAATCAAATCTGTAGTGTTTTTGTCTTTTTCAATAATTAATTTGCCTTCTTTTCTTGCTGGAAATTACTATCCTAGCCTTTTTTGTGTGTGAAATGTGCGGTTTAACTGCGGTGCTTACGTCATTAGATTGAGATTCGTCGATTTACCGTTGTTCGATGGCGGTGCATCGATTCATGGTTATTTGACAAGTACTACAACAGTTAGTTATAAGAATGTCGGCGCGTGCATACTAACTGAATTGGAAAGAAAATATACATCTACAGTACCTATCAAAGAAAAGTTATATCGACGTTAAAGCACATTCGTATGTCAGAGAATGAAGCATACTAACCACGCATCCAGAAATGTAGTTGTTTTTATATATATAAACTCTGTTGGGACTTGGGCGCTCCGCTTGATTCGACGTTTTTCAGTTATGATTTTGCCTTTTTCTTGTCAAACAGTTACTTTTCTAACCTTTTTTATGTTCAATTTGATTGTTGTGCTTACGTCATTAGATTGAGATTTATCGATTTACAGTTGTTAGATCACGGCTCATCGATTCATAGCTATTTGACAAGTACAACAACAGTTATTTATAAGGATGTCAGCACGTGCATATTATAGTTGTTTGACAAGTACGACAACTGTAATTATAAGGATGTCAACACGTACATATTAATCGAACCGGAAAAAATATACACCTGCCTATCAGAAAAATAATTATATCATCGTTAAATTACATTCATATCATCATCAAAAACACAACGCTATCTCATACTGGGTTGTTTTGTTTTGGTTGAACGCATCAAACTGATTCTTTTTATGTTGATTTTCATTATGCGAGTATACTGTCCATTATGTTATGCACCAACCTTTTGTATAGGTTTTATCATGTTATAAGTAAGCAAAATGTAGTGTCTTTCTTGATTAACAAGCATCTAACAAGCGTTTGAATCACCAATGAAGTACAAACAAGAAACTCATCTACTTTTTTTTAAAAAAAAACATGAAACTCATATAAATAAAGCTAAAAGTGAAAGGACTATAAAAATTGTAGGATTTTGCGTTATAGATTTGTAAGAAGACGGCAGTCCACGTGTGATAGTATTCGGGCTACGTGGAGGACGAGGTCCGGGAGAGGAATGACGTGGATTGATGAGCCTGACTTGTATGTTGGGCTCGGCCCCAAAATTGCTGAGCCACTGGTCCATTAAGAGTGCAGCCGGCTCAACTGTCGGGCCTGGTAGCTGTTGACGGGTCGATCAATTTCACTCGTTTCTCCCTGCATTTGGGCCCGTTTGGATGAGGGTTTTCAACGGGAGATTTCACTATAATGCGTCATTGAGTCGGATTTTAAAGCAATTTTACTTGTGGGAAGGTGAGTGTTTTTGCAATTAAGAATTTCTAAAAAACTCTCAAATATAGATTTTTGAAATAATTGATCCCCATAAACTATTTCCACATTACTCTTTTTTTCCCATATTCTTCCAATTCTAGCCCCTCTTCCTTTATCCCAGTTCATCCTGCTGCCACTCTTCCTCCTCGCCGAAAACCCCACCCGACGAATTCACATTCTCATCAACGCCACCCACATGACCAGACGCTGTCGTATGCCTTTCCAATATCGTCAGTCCAATAGGAAAAATCCTCTTATAGGAATCCAAACCGGTATAGAGTTTTATGAGTATAAAATGGTTGAACAATGATTAAATCACGCTGCTGTAAGTACAAAATATTCTATCATTCTTGTCTTATACAAACTTTGATATGATTTTACAATCATGTAGTTTTTGTGAGGAAAAACTTGGTAATAAAGAGCATTTAGCCGTTTATACACACACCTCTTGTGGGGGAGTGTTAGACGATACTTAAACAAGTACAGGAGACCAAGACTAGACGGATTTCACGTGATTCAACCACACGATGAGTTTGACCTAATCAGCGAGATTCACATTACTATATTTTCTTCTTATTCGACTTAGCACTTTCCATCCTCTGTGTTTTTCCGTACGCACATGTTTGGCTGGGAATCCCTAACATTGAAGTCGAATCCATGTGAATTTAATATCGCATCGAATTGGTTTGAGAGTCAGTATTCAGAAAGATAGTTGTTTTTATATATAGGCTTTGTTGTGGGGGTGCTCCACTTGATTCAAGATTCTAGCAACTCGCATCTACCATCTAAGTTATATCTACTATACAACCATTTGTTAATCTCTATATTTTTACTGCAACATTTATCTCACTCATATTCATCAAAAGAAAGACGATATTGTTGCTTTTTCTAGTCTATAAAGAACACATGACATCTATAAATCTACATGTTATCTATTATTCCGACTCAAGCTTATCTCCTTTAGAACCTATAATCCAAATTAATATATAAGTATTATTACCAACCAATAGTACAAGCCTTGGAATATGAATGTCGGGAGAGAAAATCAGAGGAAAGAAAAAGGGGGGAAACCGTGCATGAGTGTGGGACGGGCCGGCCTATAAAAGGGCCTGTCGTGGACTTGAATGCAATAAATGTATTTCTTATGGGGGCCCATCATGTCAAACTGTAAAGTATTCCATCATTAGGTAGAATTTTGGATTCACAATTTCACATATAGCGACTAGCAACCACTTTTTAGCTATGATTCACTTACTGATTACAGAAGGTAAATAGTTTCATAGCTCACCCTAAGGCTGGAACTCGAACTAGTTGGTCTGCGGTTCAACTTGATTTCGGGTGGAAAAAAGTCTTTGGAGGGCCTTTTAAATGGTGAATTTAAAGAGTAGAATTAAACGCATTTTTTCTCCCCGTTTTGAATTGTGGTGGAATTTAAATTTCTCGTTTACAATGACATATTAATCAGGATCATCTTAGAAAGATTATCTGAATTCATATTCTTTTTTAGTACGTTGTTCGGGTGAGGAGACGGGAAAAAGTATCGGATTTGAGTTCAAGTTCAACAAATGTGACGTTATGTCACATTTGTGGGGAATAAGAAAAATCCCCACGCATCTCTTGTCACTTTCAATTCCCGCATTATTCCCGCATTATTTTTGGGTAAATCAAACATTGTTTTCTCATTTTACCTTTGGACGAAATCTATATCCTCCTAAGGAGCTTAAGATGAAAAAACATTTATCCTTAAAAAGCATTTATTTTAAATTAATTTCAAACTTGTACCATAAGATCACATTCAAAATTCAACTCTTGCTTATATTATTATATGAACAATGTTCAATTCTTGTTTCGAACCGGACACGAACCTGAACTTGGATAGAACATATACATCTCTAACCACATGGTTGGTGGTTGATACAAAAAGGAAAGAAGCCATTTGCCACTTTGGTTCCCCTTCACCTCCCCTCTTTGTTACGAAGTTGGCCAAAGACCCATCACAACAGTGACATGAATGTCAAATTCATACAAACAAGCAACCATGCCAATTCACACTAAAATGCCAATCTCTGCCATGCCACCACCACCCTCAACATTTATTGCATTTACCTCCCCACCTATACCCTTCTATCTCCTCCCCATTATTAAGGCATTAACTCTTTCCATCTCTTCCACAGGATTCATTCATTCACTACTGGTTTGCTGTTGTTAGTTGTCTGGTAACTGTTGTTTCACACATAAAACCCAACAATCAGAGTCAAAGAAAACACCAAATTGGCCCATTGGCAGTTTGGCATGTTACTACTCCATTTGATTTCCCCTTCTCCTCCCCTGCAGCCTTCCTGCTAGAGTTTTAGGCCATGGAGATAGAATCTGCAGCAACCAGCAACAAGAACTATGTCAGTAATGGTGATGGTGAGGAGTTGAGGTCTATGGATCATCAGCATGGTCGGAATCCCAGAGGGATATACCTTGTTTGGGAGGATCTAACCGTCGTGCTGCCAAATTTTGGGAGCAAGCCAACCAAGAGATTGCTTCAAGGGCTTAGTGGGTATGCTGAGCCCGGCAGAATCATGGCTATTATGGGGCCTTCAGGTTCTGGGAAATCCACCCTCCTTGATTCACTTGCAGGCAAGTAACATTATTTTAGTTGGGTTTTGGCAAAAGATTCCAACTTTATGCTGAAAGGTTCCATCTTTATGATTGAGGGTTTTGTTTTGGGGAAGCCCCAAAAGTGGGAGCCAAATCTGGAAATTTTCTTTTGTGGGTATTGGTTTCCCTTTGTGTAGGAACCAAATGTCATTTTTTATGGTTACAAAATGCCATTTTCTGTACTTGGATTGTATGCTATTTCTGGAAACTCCCCCATTTTCAGGGAGGTGAAAGAAGGGATCATTCCATTATGAAAGACATACACAACTCTCAGTCATGGGTTTTCCTGTTTCAGAAACCTGCAATTATGCCTCAGTTTAAGACTTTGATGGTGAAAGTTGTTCACTTTGGGTGTTTTAGCTGAAATTTGAAGCCACCCAGCTCTGTTTGTGATTGTACAATCCACTGGCAGATCTGAATGAACAGATGGATAGATAGATATCCTTGCCATTCATTTTCATGCGCAAAAAGAGATCAGCATGGACCATTTCTTGAACTTGAAACTGTGATTACAGTTGACAGATTGTTGCTTTTTCTTATGACTGCTAAAGGGTTGCTGATGTTATTATTATTGCTATCACAGGTAGACTGTCCAAAGATGTGATAATGACAGGCACTGTTCTGTACAATGGCAAGAAGAGGAGGCTGGATACTGGTGTTGTAAGTTGTCCCCAAATGACCCTAGAACTTTCTTTCGGAATTAATGACATGCATTGTCAATACATGTTTGTATGTTAGTCCCCTCATTTTTCCAAATTCATCACTGCTGGGATCCTAGTCAGGACCGATCAATGCTTACTACGCACGTCATTCACGCTATCTAGAGAGAAAATTATTGAGTTTCGTCCTCTCGA